CCATATACAATTCTAAGAATATAATACTTCATTTCCTCTGTTTTTTCCTTCTTTCTTTTCTTCCTTCCTTCTTGCTTTTACACCTAGATCATAACGATAAATACTTTCTTAAGCCAAAGACTTGAATTTGGGAAGACAACACAACTCGGGGCCAGCACTGTGGTGTAGCAGATGAAGCCGCCGCCCGCAGTGTCGGCATCCCATATGGGTGCCAGTTCAAGTCCCGGCTGCTCCACTTCCGAGCCAGCTCTCTACTATGACCTGGGAAAGCAGTGGAAGATGGCCCAAGTCCTTGGGCTCCTGCACCCGTGTGAGACCCAGAAGAATCTCCTGGCTCCTGGCTTTGGATGGACACAGCTCTAGCCATTGCAGCCATCTGGGGAGTGAACCATCAGATGGAATACCCCTCTCTCTCTCTCTCTCTCTCTCTCTCTCCCCCCCCCTCTCTCCCCCTGCCTCTGCTCCTCTGTAACTCTGCGTTTCCAATAAATAAATAAATCTTAAAACACACACACACACACACACACACACAACTATCTTTGGCTACTTGTGGTTGCTGTTAAAACTTATGATGATAGAAATGAAGAAATAACCCATTCTCATTCTCTCTCACCTCCTATACGATTATGTTTCCTCATAATCTTTTTTTTTATCTGGAATTGTCACATCGTGACCAAAAAAGTGTCTTTTTTGATCTTCATGCCTGATAAATGACTCAGTGACTAGCTTGACTGTAAAGAGAAGGAGTACTTGTTCTTCCTTAGCACAACCCATGGAAGAATGCACCCAGGAATGTTTGTTCTCTATTTGGTTGACTCCTTGGCAAAGGTATAATAACAGTAGTTAATATTGCAAACACAATGTGCTTTGCATGACCTGACATATTTAAATCCTTATAATAACCTTATTGAAATGTTATTTTGGGGCTAGCGCTGTGGCATAGTGGGTAAAACCACTGCCTGTGGTGCTGCCATCCCATATGGGCACCAGTTCAAGTCCCAGCTGCTCTACTTCCAATCCAGCTCTGTGGCCTGGGAAAGCAGTAGAAGAAGCCCAAGCCCTGCACCCACATGGGAGACCCGGAGGAAGCTCCTGGCTTCTGGCTTCAGATCAGTGCAGCTCCAGCCTTTGCAGCCAACTGGAGAGTGAACCAGCAGATGGAAGACCTCTCTCTCTCTGACTCCTTCTCTCTGTGTGTAACTCTGACTTCCAAATAAAATAAATAAATCTTTAAAAAAAGAGAAATATTATCCTATTTTTACCTATGAGGATTAATTAACACAAAGAGGTTAACAAATTCTTCCATATGATTATTGTAAAAGTCAGTCCCTATTCTCATCCATCATGATTCTCTCAGATTATAGAAAATTGGTTCTCAGCCCTGTTTCTCATGAGATACACAAGATTTTTTTTTTTTAATATTGATTGCCCAAAAATACAGAACACTAACAATAGAAACTACTAGTGAGGATGTGGAGGAACTGGTATTCCATATGTAGCAAGTAGGAATGTAAATTGGTATAATAACTTCAAGAAAAACAATTTAGCCTAACATTATTTGGCATTTTGGAAGTAAATTGATAGATTACCTTTATTGTTTTGATTTTCAGTGGTTACATTCGCAGACAGCGTCTGGTTCTGGGTGACTCCTTCACTCCTGCTCCACCCCAGAACACTGGGCCTTCAGTACTCTCACTCTTCACTCAGCAAACGGTCCCTTGACCCAACCTCTTCCCAAGCTTCCCCATCACATCTCCTAACTCCTTTCCTGTCTGCTACTCTAAGCTACTCCACACCCTGACGTTCAGCACCGCTAGGACCTTCCTTTCTCTTCTTAACCAATGTTTATGCTCTCCCTAGAGCTTACAAGTCTCACTTGTGCCAAATAAGCATTCCTCCTGTGACCCAACCTTGGCACAGTCCACCCATGGCAGTGTTTCCCTAAGTGTTTCCCGTGGTTCCTGACCTTCCCTCTTGGAACTTGGTTGCTGCAAAGACAGCTGAGCCATACAGCAACTTCTTAGAAACGCTTCTAAAACAAAAAGAATCATCTGCTGGACTTTACATGAGACCTGGATGTGCAACCCACTAGGGGTTCTCACAGTCCCTGGCCCACGTAAGCCACTAAAAATTTTGTGTTTAATACCAGACTTCCTTATCAGAATCGTTCATAAGTCATTTTTATGCTTTTTCATAGGAACTTATTTGTTGTTTTTACATTAAAACATATCCTGTTGGTACATATAAACGCAAATTATTTGAAACTGGTTTGTTTTTTTAAATTTGACTAAGTATCCTTAAAGTAGCAAAGAGAAAATCAAGCAGTAAAGAAACAGGGCTTCTATGGGAGCGGATAGAAAGGAGTATAGGAATTTTCTAAGACAAATAATAAAAAGTAGGTAATAATGTCATCAAGCTCTTTTTTGATTTGTTTCTAGTGGTTGAAGCAAAGAGAGATTGAGAGGGAAACAAACAGGAATGTTTAAGATGTCATTGTAAAGTACTACTTAATAATGAAGATAATAAATACATAATAGAACTTTTAAAAAATATGTAGAACAGAAAAGGTCAAGGACACAGCTTGTAATGATGAACTCCTCCTGCTACAGTCGCTGTGTGCTTTGATGTTAGAAATAAAACTTGCACTTAAAACCTACCGTTATATGCACTAGAATTGGAATTTTTTTTTAAAAAAGATTTTTTTTTAAAATTTACCTGAAAGGCAGAATTACAAAGGTAAAGGCAGAGAGATAAGGAGAGAGGTCCTCCATCCACTGGCCCACTCCCCAAATGGCTGCAATGTCCAGAGCTGCACCAATCCAAAGCTAGGAGCCAGGAGCTTCATCCAGGTCTCCCACATGGGTGCAGGTCCAGGCCATAGCTGAGCTGGATCAGAAGTGGAGCAGCCAGGACTTGAACTGGCACCCATATGGGATGCTGGCACTACAGGTAGCAGCTTTACTGGCTATGCCATAGTGCTGGCCCCCAGAATTAAGATCTTTAAAAAAGATTTTGCTCAGGGCTGGTACTGTGGGGTAGTAGGCTAAGCCTCCACTTGTATTGGCATCCCATATGGGCACTGCTGCTCCTCTTCTGATCCAACTCTATGCTTATGTCCTGGGAGACCACTGAAAGATGGCCCACGGCTTGGGCCCCTGCACCTTGGAGACTTGGAAGAAGCTCCTGGCTCCTGGCTTCAGTTCAGCCCAGCTCTGGCCATTGCAGACATTTGGGGAGTGAACCAACGGATGGAAGACCTTTCTCTCTGTCTCTTCCTCTCTGTCTGTAGCTCTGTCTCTCAAAGAAGTAAATTAAACATTTTTAAAAGAGATTTTGCTCTTCTCTAGACTTCTCTAGACAAATATAATATTTGTATCACTTTTCTTCTATCCTAGAACATAGATAAGATCATTATATGCTCCCCTACTGTTACTTGTCCATTAGTGTAGATGAGGTATCTATGGTTTATTTGGGAATTTCAGCCCCCTAGAAAATAATAGTTGTTCTAGGTCAACTATGAGTCACAATGTATAAACTATATGAAATATAAGCTGTATATAAACTGTATATGAAAGCAAGTATATTGGTTAATATTATTTTGGTTTTAAATGAGAGAATACACTTTACCATAGGCAAAGAAAAAAAACTGGGTTTGGGGTAGATTTCCTCCTGAGACTCGGTGAATGAACCTCCAGGAAAAACTGCCTCTAAAACTCCAACCCAGTCTCTATGGTTTTCACTATTCCTTGGTTTTGCTTCTCTCTGCATGTATTGGCTTAATTCTCTTCTACTGTATATGCTTCCTTTTTGTCACAGGGGAAGGAGAGGCATAACATTAGATAACTCCAAGTTTATTATTACTTATTTCAGTAAGTTTATTATTACTTACTTATTTCAGTAAGTTGAACTCAGAGAAAAGAGGTACCCTCTCTTTCTCCAGTATGAAATCCTAAGGAAGTCTCATAGAATCTAGTTTTTGACTTGCAGACACTCCAGAAATGCACTGAGTCAGACAGTATCAGGTCACCAAAAACAAGAGGACATGCCATGACCCAAGGAAGTGAGAGATGATGGCCAGGTAAGAACGGCAGATGTCCTGACTACCGTGTGGTGAATAATTTTGATGTGTGCCCCACTCCTGTCCTGCCTCTGAACTCACCTGTCATTGTGGTAAGTTGTTCCTGGCACCACTGGTAGCTTCTTACCTCGGGTTCTTGGCTCTCCCTGCTTTTCCATCTGAGGACTCCACACAAGGGGAGCGTGTACAACTACAGACAAGCATGATACAAAGTGTAGGCAAGTCAACCTGTCAAGACAGAGTCAATTCTCACTCAAGGAGGTGGGACATGGTAGATTAAATCCTAGCCTTCCCATTGGCCAGCAGGACAATTCTGAGGCATGTTGAACATGATTTCTCAGAATGTCCCGCCAGGACTGAACTCCAGTTGCCTACAGTGGTAACTGGATTATTAACATAACTCTTATTGCTTCTTCTCCATTTCCCGAACTCCAACCCTAGTACCTCAGGCGACTGCCTGAATTCACAACCCAAATAAACTATTTTCACCCATGTCCTTGTATCAAAGCCAATTTGGGAAAACCCAAAGCAAGACAACCAGCTCAACTATTCAGTTTGCCAAATAATACTTGTATTAGATACTTGTATTAAATTTAATACTTGTATTATTAAATATTGTATTATTAAATTTAATATTTGTATTAAAATATAAATATATTTTATTTTAAAATATATAAATATTATATATATAAATATTATATAATATATTAATTATGTATATAATATATTTAACTATAAGTATTATTGAATATGTAATATATATTATATGATATATATTTATAATTAAACATATTTATAAATATATTTAGTTATAAAATATAAATATATATTTATTATATAATAATAAACAAAAAAGTACCATCTCTTTGAAAGAGTAGAATAAATACTTTTTTAAAAGATTTATTTTTATTTGAAAGTCAAGGTTACACAGAGGAGGCAGAGAGAGAGAGGTCTTCCATTTTATAACATATGTAAATAGTATAGTGTTGTGCATTTCCATTCTTTTTTAAAAAGATTTATTTATTTATTTGAAAGAGTTACACAGAGAGAGAAGAGGCAGAGAGAGAGAGAGGTCTTCTATTCATTAGTTCACTCTCCAATTGGCTGCAACAGTCGGAGAGCTGTGCCATTCTGAAGCCAGAAGCCAGAAGCTTCCTCCAGGTCTCCTACGTGGGTACAGAGGCCCAAGGACTTGGGCCATCTTTTACTGCTTTCCCAGGCCATCACAGAGAGCTGGATTGGAAGTGGAGCATCCAGGACTTGAACCTGCACCCATATGGATGCCGGCACTGCAGGCGGAGGCTTTACCCACTATGCCACAGTGCTGGCCCCCACAAATCATCTTTCAACAACTGAGCTTCTTCATTATTTCTAAGCAACATCTAACATATAAGTTGCCTTCAAACACAAATGACAGAAAACCCAGAGCAAATGGCTGCATAAAATATAAAGAATACATTGGCAGTCAAGTTAAAAATCCAGAGGTAATGCTGTTTGCAGGCATCATATTCCATGGTTTATTAAATCCTCAGGGTATTGTCTTCATTTCACTACCAATTTCCAATCTTGCCCATCTTCTTTGTGTCAGCTTGTTCCTCAAAATGGTTCCCCTTCTGATACCAAAACTGGTTTCAGTACTATTGGAGACAAAAGAAAGCATTCTCATTTCAGAAGCCTTAGCAGAAGTCTTGAGGTCCTTGATGATTGACCCAGCTTAAGTCATGGGCAATAGACTGATTGGCTGATGCCTTGTATGGCTCACCCAGAGGTGGGTAGAATCAATTCAATGATCACTATGTGTCAGTTCCAAATGAAGACCTGAGGTAGGGGAAAAAAGGGTATGGAAACTGAGGAGCACAAACATTCACTCCACATGTGTCATAGCTCTATAGCTCTACATTTTCTGCCTTGTTTCAGCTTCCTTAGTCTTTCATCTTAGCACCCTTCTTACTTGTGCAATTTAGCACTGATTCTTGCCTTATTTTTTCCCATTCTTTACTGGAGATTTGGGTCTTAGGGTCTATTGACTAGCTTCTCAGAAGCTAAAGTGTGTGAGATTCTGACCATCAAACATCCTTTGATTTCTTCTTTCTTTGCCCTACAAATCTCCCACGATGTCCTCTCGAACATCTTGTGCTTCAGTTTTCCTCTGCCATGCTGTTTTGGCTGCTCTAACTTGCTTGTCAGGTTGATATGACACAGTCCCTGCCACCAGCTCTTTGCAGAGGCCAAATGTTTGGTCTGATTCCAGCTCCATACCCTCCTCTATTCTACTTGGCCATAGTTTGTCAGAGGCTGCTGGGCTGGATTCTAAACATATTAGATTAAAAAACAAATCCTCAAAATCATACATTTAGAAAGAGGTAAGTCTAATAAAAAGATAAATAAAGCTATTCAAAATAATTTACAAATACTATTTTGAAAATAAACTGCTTTAGATTCTTTTGATGAAAGAAAAGATTAAAGAGTGCTTTATTAAAAGTAATTTTATTCTTTACTAGTGACATTTTAAGCCAAGTATTTTCAAATAAAGATGTATAAGGCGATAAAAACAGAACGCCACTGAATAACCTTACAGATTTGCTCCAGATAGGACAGCATTCAACACAGGTTTAAATAATTTGCACACAGCTCATCTGTTTATTTAAGCCCATACTTCTAAAGTGTTTGAGAACAGATTGTTCCTCCTTTTTTATCATCTTAAACATCTCATCTGTAGACTCATTTATAACATCAAACTGCTTTAAAATCCTTTTACCCTTCTAAATGGTTCAAAACTAACTTCACTCCATGTCCCATCTGGTTTATTATAATTATGAGTTGTCCAAAGCCAGAACCATTAATATTATATGGTATCAATTACTAGCTGTTGGAGCCAGAATTATGCGAGGGACTGAGGAACGCACGAGGCAGCTTACCAGTCCTTGAGATCATGTCTTCCCATCAAGGCAAGTGGCTCCTCTTAAAATATACTATCCTGATGAGCTTTTTCAACACAGGGTGATCCTTGCATTTCTGATTCTCCATGTTGCACATGTTAGCAACTGATAAAATGCTCAGGAAATTAATCTGTCAATACACATTTATTCAAGTTCCTTTTCAGTGGAAAATATCTGCATGAAGAACAAAATATTGCCTTTTACATAGAAAAGAAAAAGAAAGTAGAATTTCAGATCCCTGAAAGATTTTGAAGATCCTCAAAGGCAACCATACCTCTGATAGATTTTCAAGGGTGTTTTTATAAGATACAATTAATTCACTGTTGAATATGCATATTAAAGTTCTTTCTTGTCTCTTGAAGATAAAATCTGTGTCTCTTACTAAAGAAAAAGCAGTCTTATCTGATGGTAAAGACCAGCCCCATTTTCCAAAGCTGAGTAGCAAAGAAGAGAATAAACACAATGTTGATGTCACTTAATTTTGGTTGAATATGCACTCTTGTAACTTTGAAAAAAATGTTCCTGTGGGATATTCTTAAGGAAATAAAATATTTCTCCTTTTGGCAAGCAAGCTTTCTCTGTTTCCCCAAATGCTTTCACTCCAAAGTGGCAATATGTATGTATTCCCTGTTTTTCATACGATGAAACTGAATAGGGCAAAGATGTACTATGTTTTTCTTAATTTTAAACATGTTTTAACTGTGCTCAATGGTAGTTAAAGCAAATACTGAATTTAAAAAATACCTGATCTTCTTAGGATTGCTTCAACTACCACCTAACAATGCTATGTCACCTCCTCCAAGAAGTCCTATTGGATGGAGGCTCTCATACTTTGGACACAGCTCTGTCACTGTAGTTATCACATTGCATTATGTTCATGTGCCTATCTCCTACTTAGGTTATAAGGGAAGGATCATATTATTGATATCTAGGCCACTGAAGTGCTATTATTAATTTGAAGTACACAAATACCAATAAGCTATGGCTCTGCATTCTGGGACATTCTACTCTGGCTTCTGAGATGGCAAATGAGCAATCTTGGCTTAGAAGAGGACTATACTATTTTGTCTTTAATTCACTTAAGTTTCAGAAAAAAATTGATTTTTTAAAATGTGGATGATTACATACAGGTCTCAGGATTTCAGCTGCTCTTCAAAAGTCAGAAGATCTAGCAACATTTGGCCTGATTTCTCTTATATTATCAATCAGCCACAGCAGAGGAATAGTTGTGACTTTGCACTCAGACCCTACTTCTCCCTATTGTCTTCTTGATACCCACACCAAGAATCAGTTGCCATTTATATTTGCTCTACTCTTCTTTGGGTATAAAAAGTTTTATGGGACCAGTGTGATGGAGTTGCGGGTTAAGCTGCTACCTGTGAAGCTGGTATCCCGTTTGGGTGCCGGTTTGAGACCCGGCTGCTCCACTTCCTATCCAGCTCTCTGCTAATGTGTCTGTGAAAGCAGCAGGGGATGGCCCAAGTGGTTGGGCCCCTGTATCCACAAGGGAGAGCCAAAGGAAGTTCTGGACTCTTGGCCTTGGCCTGGCCATTGCAGCTATTTGGGGAGTAAATCAGTAGATGGAAGATTTCTGTCTCTATCTCTGTAACTGCCTTTCAAATACATAAATAATAATAAATCCTAAAAAAAATTGTTTTCTAAACCCATCAGAGGATTTTCACCTCAAAAAAAAGGGGGGGAGACAAAAGACAGACTTAGAGAGACAAAAGACAGACTTAGAGGGTCATGTGTTTTTTAAAAATATGCCAACCTGCTTTATGATCCAACTCACCTGAACGATTTCAATAACCTGAATAAGTCATCCAGCAAACTCCAATGTGTGCTCCAGGACCCAACTGGTCACCCAAACTCCACTTCCTTTTCTATTCTTACCTACTCCACGTGCCCTTATGAAGTCATTACTCTTTTTCTAAGACCTTGTTTTTTTTTAATTGACAAATAGTTATTAGACAGTGAGAGAGAGAGAGACAGAAATAAAGGTCTTCCTTCCATGGTTCACCCCCCAAACGGTGCTACGGCCCGCGTGCAGCACTGATCTGAAGCCAGGAGCCAGGTGTTTTCTCCTGGTCTCCCAGGCGATGGGGCCCAAGCACTTGGGCCATCCTCCACTGCACTCCCAGGCCACAGCAGAGAGCTAGACTGGAAGAGGAGCAACTGGGACTAGAACCCGGCGCCCATATGGGATGCCGGCGCCGCAGGCAGAGGATTAACCAAGTGAGCCATGGCGCTGGCCCCTTCTAAGACCTTTAATAATAGTAGTAGTAATAGTAGCAGCAACAGTAGTTACTGTCTTCCTAATGTTCATGATAACTAGCTGCCCTTTTTCTATGTACCTTACTTGAATTAACATCTAATTCTTGTACTGTTAACAATTCTGAATGAACTCTGACCAGTTCCATGCAGGCACAACACAACGGCACCTTACTTCTGCCTTGCACCGTGCATGTCTCTTCTGCTCAAGGCTTCCCTGTTGCTGCTAATATAGGATCCCCCAACCAACCATGTGGGACAGCTCAGAGGACAAGGGAATTCATATCTTCCCAGGTAAAGCTTTGATCATGAGGAGATGGGAATCAAGAGGTAAATCCCTCCCCTCCCACTGTTGGAGAAACCTCTTGTATTTAACTGTGAAGCCTGGCTAGCTCAATAATACCTTCTCAAGATGTCCATCCCCCCTTCCTTTCTCACTTCCCTTCCCCCTTACCCTGCTTCCTAGACTTGCACTCTCTAATAGTGTTAATGCCTACATATTTGCCTTAGGCTTCACCTTCCGGGAAATCCAAACTGAGACTTTCTCCTGTACATCTCCTTTCCCCTCCCCTTCTTTTGTTTTGTTTATATTATCTATATGACCTTCAAAGGCCACTTCATCACATTATTCACTTTTTGATCGCAAGTTAGACAAAGGCAATGGAAAGATTCTGTGATATTTCCCATGGGAGCAGTGAAAGGAATAGAGTTGGGCCATCTGAAAACCTGGAAACAGTGCTGTCTAGTTCTTTTATTTTCATTCTTATCTGTGTTCTTCTTGGCACTTAAGCATTATTTTCTCTATTATAGTCCAGCTTTTTTCCATGTGTTATGGGAGGGATGTGGTAGATGATTTCAAGCACAGTTTCCATGGTTCCCACACCTTAAGACTAATCATTTCTACTCCTTAAAATACTGTTTGAGAATTCCCAAGAGAGGACTCCAAGTGATGTGGCTTAGGATGGGTCAATGAGGAGATGGGGGAAGGCAGAATACTGATATGGCCTCAGGGACTCACTCCAAGAGACATCTTTATAGGATCCCAGCAAAATAAATGCTGTCAAGGTCCAGCTCCAGTGTTACCGCAAGCCTGAGCCTCCACTCATCTTGAAAGGTATCATGTGGCTATTAAAATATTGCAGACCTTGAAGGAAGACAAATGCCTACCTCGTATCTAGCACAAAGTGGCAGTTCTGCATTTTTCACACGCAGACCTTTCTGGGCCTAAGTTCCATCCTCTGGCAGGAATAATAATGCCACCATGTGAGAAAAATGATTTTTAAAGTACTTACCATGTAATAGGGATTCAATTAATTCCATCAGCCAAAAATAATATCTCCCTGGACAATTTACATGACACAGAAAAATCTTTGTATTACTCTTTGTCTTTGTCACCATTTTTTTTTTTTTGAATCTCACCTACTTGATGAAATATTCCCTTTGGAGCCGGCGCCGTGGCTCAATAGGCTAATCCTCCACCTTGCGGCGCCGGCACACCGGGTTCTAGTCCCGGTTGGGGCACCGGATTCTGTCCCGGTTGCCCCTCTTCCAGGCCAGCTCTCTGCTATGGCCAGGGAGTGCAGTGGAGGATGGCCCAGGTGCTTGGGCCCTGCACCCCATGGGAGACCAGGAAAAGCACCTGGCTCCTGGCTCCTGCCAGGATCAGCGCGGTGCGCCGGCTGCAGCGGCGGCCATTGGAGGGTGAACCAGCGGCAAAGGAAGACCTTTCTCTCTCTGTCTCTCTCTCTCACTGTCCACTCTGCCTGTCAAAAAAAAAAAAAAAAAAAAAAAAAAAGAAATATTCCCTTTGGGTAAGAGTGTCTTCTCTTCTTAGCTATCTTAGCTCTGGTGTTTTATCCAACATATTGGAATGGAAGAATAAATATTTGTTAAAAGAGTAACTCCAACTACACTCCATAAATGATCTGGTTTTCATTTGTGGTTTATTGCTACCTTCTAAAAATGATGAATTCTTCCTCAAATTCAAGCAAAGGTAAGCCTTTTCCCAACTGTTGTATGAGGTAAAACTTTTGTTTCCTCTCTCAAAATGAACCAGATGTCCTAAGAAGAAAGTACTGTTGGAAATACTAATAACAAAAATGAAGAAAACTTCCTTTGCCCTCCAAGAGTTGAATATTGACTTATTGAGATAGTTATTTAATTTTCAAATGTACATTCTATATACTTAATTCCACATGTTCCTCATATGCGAAAAAGAAAAAAAAATAAATTTGGCTCCTTTGCTGTTCCATGTTGCCTTCAGATCCATACCCATGATGCAAGGGGAAACTGTTCATGTGTATTTGATTACATGAAAATGGCTTGTGTATTTCCTTCTATTAATTACAATGCCTCTAAAATTTATATACAATTTCCTCCTCCATCCCATCGCCATATTCTCACAATATTAGTTACATATCCTTGATTTAACATGACTGGAGTACAGAAACATTTAAGATGTAAATGAAGGGCTTTAACCACATTAATTTTCAGGATTTTATGTATGAAATTTCTTATTTCTCAGAAATTTTAAAAAGAAAGCTTGCTTATATGAACAATTTTAAAAACTTATATTTGTGGGAAGATCCAAGATGGCTGAACGGAGGTGCCCTGCACTCCTCTGCCACAGAGAAGAATCAAGAAAACAAACAAAAAAAAAGGATCACATTTGCAGGAGATTGAGTGATGGAGAGCAACAACAAAGAAGTGACCAAACCCTAGAGGGTAAAGAGACTCAAAGCCAGCACAGAGAGATGAACAATGCAAACTGTAACTCCTGCACCCGCTCCCCACCTTGGCAGAGCTCCACCTGGCCAGGAAAAGGTAAGCAGGGCAGCTCAACAACCCCCACCGTCACTGCAGAACAGCAATAAGAATTCCACCGTCCTCACAGGCTCTAAATC